TTTGGGTTACCTTTTCTGCTATGTTGGAATTTGATACCGTCTTCTGAAAGTAATGCTTGAATTTTATAGGATGAACCTTGCTGAATTCAAACGTAATGATTATTTGTTAAAGCTTGTGTGTGCTTTAAATTGGTTTAAATTGACAAAAGTACGTATTTTTGTCAAGGTTGCAAATACTCATTTCAGCTAAAATAATGTTTTTTGGAATAATAAAACCAAAAGATGGTATGATGACATGTTTTACTTGTAACTTACAAGAAGAGGTTACAAAGTATGCGTTTGAAACATAAAACCTGTAAATTTTGCTTTCTATGAGTCACAATCAGCGATTTACTGATCGCAGAGCGAGTGATTGAGTGAGTGTGTGAAAAATCGATGATTTTGACTCGCATGAAGTGAAATAAACAGCTTTAATATGTCAAACACATTCTTTGCAACCTCTTCTTGTATATTACAAATTCAAAATATGATCATAGCATCTTATTGTTTCATAATAAAAAAAAACATTGTTTTAGCTGAAATGAGTATTTACAACCTTGATTTTTGTTTAAATTTGGTTTTTATGTTCAGCCAAGATAGATTTTGGCTCCTTGCTTTGAATATTACGCTTGAAGATTGTTGAATAGGCCTTGCTGAATCCATGCGTCTATTTTGATTTTTTGAAATACGCACAATTGTTGAGAAAACTGGGTATAAATTCACAAAGTAGGTATGTTCATATAAATTTGGGTTTCCTGTTCTGCCATGTTATATTTGAATAAGGAATAAGAACTATCGGAAAAAAAACGTTTTTTTTTCTTATAAGAGCTATTGCGTGTTTAATATATATTATAATATACACGGAATTGATCAAAACCTAAACATCAGTAGCTTTGATTATAAATAATTCATTTTGTTTTCATTCTCTGATCGAATAGTCACTCACAGTGAGGGCTAGCTAAACTCAATGGATAAGAGTAGCTAACTTCATTAGAGTATAAAGAATATCATTAGGCCTTCCAAGTAACATTTCTCGCTTTATGGAGGTTATATAGCATTCTACAATTTTTAATCATGATCTACAGAACCCTCATAAAACCAAAATTGTGACTGGGCTATGCTCCAGTATCATGTCCGTTCGTCGGTCGGTGGTTGATTCGAAAATTAACCACGAATATTCCTGTACTATCGTCTTTATCGATCAAATGATGCTCAAACAAAAATCATTCATGGTTGCCAGAATTTGTTTTTGTCTTGCCATTAAGCTAAACATTCTGTTTGGATTTTTTTTTTTGTGGCAAATGCTACCTTCGCAACCTGCTGAGTACGGTGCTACCAAGAATTCAGCGTACATTGAATGAGGTGAACCTAAATTAGGATAAATGGTTCTTCTTAGAAGGTGAACTTCTAAGAGAGAAAGCCGCAGATCGATTGTATTGGGTTATTCACCAGAATTCAAGCCATCGAGCGCGGACCACCTTCATCACTCAGCACGCTTAATGATGTTCCCGTTTGCAATGTACTGAACGACATCGAATAAAAAAGATTGCAATTTGCCTTAATCTAGACAGTCAAATAGTCCCTGAACAATGCTTTTGAAATCAGCATACACTGTCGTAAATAGCTTCTACCTATTCAGCACTTCAATCCCCAGAAAAGCACACCGTTTTTCTCAGTGCCAACGGAACGCTAGGAATTTCTCACTCGACCACATCCATTCCCTGCTTTCCATTCCCCGTTCTCCCCTGGTCCAGCGACTGACTGGAGGCAAAAAAGACTAAATCATATGCAACAACATCTTTATTGTGCACCGAGCAAAAATTACACACCGCTCGTAACCATGCGTGATTTACGAAATTATACCCCGTTCATGTGTTTATTGCATCCCTGGGTCTGCAATTTGCATTTCATCGTTCGTCCGTCCATTCGTTCAGCTTGTTTGCCCGCACGCTCCACCGAGCCCTTCCGAGAGGTCTTATTCTCGCCTTATCGAGTTGTGCGCGATGCGATATTTTTCAGCTAATAGAATATAACGCCATCTGATTGAATCGTCGTCGTCGTCGTCGTCGACGACGTTTTCCTGCCCGAAGAAATCGGTCCTTATCGGTTGGTTTTTTACCCAGATCTCTCCTTGGGAAATCGGTATCCCAAATGTACACTTGGAACGCTCGCAGCGAGTACTTTATGAATTTGTGAGCACTTATCTGCGCGCGCTCGCATTATTGCTCGCGAGCATAATAATTTTCACACTCTTCCCTCCCGGGGTTAGCTTTTCGGAGTGAGTATTAATACGAGGATTATGGTTGGGTGCTTTTTTTTCTGATCCTGATAAATGCGTGGTAAGCGATGCTTGGATGTAGGTGCTAGTTAAAGTGTGGTTGGAAACGATAGGTTACACCTATACGGTTTGCATCGGTAAGCGATCCTATGGTGATGAAGCATTAGAAGGGATGGGTCATTACGCCGATGCAGTGTTCAGAAAAACTCAAAAAATCAAAGCTATCCTATCCATGTTCATCTATCATAATCATAATGTTGGCAAGTAGATGAAATATTAAAAAAAAATGCAATTTCCCGATTAAAAGACTGTCTGGCATTCAGGGTGAGAGACAATCACGCTTACCACTACACCACCGGCTTCAATAGATATTTCATTTGTTGGAAGGTACGGTGGACTGATGATTTATTGCTGCTTCAGTTGATGACCATAGTGGTACTTCGTGTCAACATGTTTCGATCGTCGCTCACTGGCGTTAGATTTGGCGCTTTGGTTGTCTTCATCCACAATAACTGTTAGCTGGGTATGAATTCCCAGATCGTCGAGTAAGCATAATTCTCTTCAGTTCTCCGTTATAGCAACATATTCGGCTTTCGAACTGCTCAATCGTATGCATTCTTGTTTCCTGAAACACCATTCAATCATACTATAGCCTGTAGATGACTTATGGTCCCTGGTGTCGCCGGTCCAGTGTCAGCATTTACGAACACCTCCAATTGCGTGGAATCTGCTCCCAGGATTAGCTCGTGGTCGATGGTACCTTTGAGATACCGCAGGATTCGCTTCGCCTTTACACAATCAGCCTGTGACGGACAACTAGTTTTTCTCCCCAGGATTGAAACAGGTGCTACAACATCAGGTAGCGTACCCATGGCCAGGTACAACAAACCACCAATCAAGCTGGAATACTGTTGATGATTCAGCACCGGGATCTCGGTGGCACGTAGTTCAATCTGCAGAGTGGTGATTCCTAGCGGCTTGAATTTCTCAGCAACATGGAGGTGGCCAACATGGAGGCGCAGGATGAAGCGTCATCACGATCAACCTCCATCGGCGGTACAGGAAATGGTTTCCTTTCCAGATAGATCGGTGTGACCCAGTGAGACCTAGAACCTTCCTCGACGGTTTTATTCTTGCCATTGTTTTAGTTTGGAGAAACGGACGTTTAGGAAGAATGAACTGGTACTGTCAAATTCAAAACAATATTAGCGCACACTATGTTTAAAATCACCTGTTTTTGGCTAGCCCCGTTTAAAGGTACCTGTTCCGTGCGAAACAAGCTATAGTAGCTTCCAAAACACAACGCAAACGATCGTCATTCAAACCACCCATCGTGGCAACAACGCACTCCAGGTAGAATTTTAAGGACACCGAACGAGAAGGGAGAAGCACTATATACTTCTCTTCAACATGCTGCTGCCTGCTGCTCGCCGTAGCGCACGGCAGGCAAGTATATAGGACCAAAAGTAGCAAAATACGATAGGACGACTGCTATAAAAGCGACACAGCCAGCCAGCGTTTTTATGAGTATTATTCCGACCACCATCCAAGTTACATCCAGTGAAGTAAGAAAGCAATCTGTAGAGAAATAGTGAACTAGTTAGAATAAAAGTAGTGTTAAGGTGATAATTTGATTAGCGTGTTGAATCTTTCAATCCGAACGAAATACAGTCCACTTCCAACCCACCGGAGTTGGCCACGGTAAACGTGCCATCATAGTGGTCCTTCGAGCCGGATCCAGCGCCGCCCGTAGGAAAGGATTCGACACCATCGCCACTCGACCGAGTGTATTCCGACACGCTTCCGTGGTGTGCCAACCACGACGTGTACCGCCAGGAGAGGAATCAATTATTGATCACCGCCGCTTGCGAATCCGATTCGCAAGTTTCAACCCGCCCGCCGAAGGATGTTTCTACAGAACCGCTATTCCGAAACCATACGTACTCGTGCTGTGTGTAACGTACGACGTGACAACGAGTTCATTATGCCAGTCGATCGAACCCCGAAAGGTAAGCCTGCTGCTAAGGAAACAGCTGAGGGCACAGGCAAGGAGAAGCAGCACGACGAGTCAGCAATATTCGAAGGATTTGCAGAATGGGAAATCAGTGCTGATTCCGAAACCGTGAAGGAAATAACGTCGCTTTCCCGCCAGCGAGACCAGGTCACCATGAAAGTAGTGCGTGTGCAAAGGGCGCTTGTTGCCGCTCGAAACTTGGTGAGCCTCTCACAACTCAGGACGTACATGAAGAATATCGATGTGGCCTACAACGAATACAGCGCAGTGCATAGCAAACTGGTTGCTATCATTCCCCAAGAAAGTTTTCAGCAGCAGGAGGAAGTTTGTGTCGCATTTGAAGACCGATACGACTTCGTCCGCACGACCATCGATGAGCTAATCATGGCACACGAAAATGCAAGTGTTCGTGCTCAAGCCCCGCAACAACAAATCATCGTCCAACAGCAACCGTTGAAGGCTCCAATTCCCACCTTCGATGGTGATTATGCCAACTGGCCGAAGTTCAAGGCCATATTCCAAGACTTGATGGCCAACTCAGGAGACTCGAACGCGATCAAGCTGTATCATCTGGACAAGGCTCTGGTTGGTGCAGCAACAGGTGCTCTGGATGACAAAGTAAACAGCGAAGGTAATTACCAGCAAGCGTGGAACATTCTCACCGATCGCTATGAAAACAAAAGGATCATAGTCGAGACGCACGTTCGTGGTCTGTTCAACTTGCAAGGAATGTCATCCGGATCCCACAAGGAGGTGCGACGTCTGCTCGATGAGTGCACCCGCCACGTCGAGAGCCTGAAGTATCTGGAACAGGAATTCCTCGGTATTTCCGATTTGTTTCTGGTTCATTTGCTGACGACCGCCATGGACAACACGACCAGGATGGCATGGGAAGGCACACAGAAGAAGGGCGTGCTACCCAAGTATGCGCAAACTATTATGTTCCTGCAATCGAGATGTGAAATGTTGGAGAACTGCGAAACAGCTTTCCAGAAGGTTAATGCGCAGCCCGCTTCCAAATCGACCCCGAAGGTACAAGCATTCCAACCGAAAGCAAGCAACCCGAAGGTCCATGCCGCCGCAACCACACCAATCAGCAAGGAGGTTTGTGATTTCTGCCAAGGTGCACATCGCAACTACCAATGCAATGCGCTTGGTAACATGTCCTTTGACAAACGGCTGGAGAAGGTACGCACAACTGGTGTGTTTTTCAACTGTCTGCGCAAGGGGCACAGCTCCAAGGAGTGTTCATCACCGAGGTGCTGCCAAAAGTGTCAGAAACGGCATCATACACAACTCCACAACGACGAGGTAAACCGAGAACCGAAAGCCAACGTGTCCGTTCCGAAAGAAGAGTCCCGCACAGTTCAACCGAACAGCACGGTAGCAAACCCGCCATCCGGAAGAGATATACCGAGCACATCCTGCTCGTGTAACTACGCCGATTCCACGAAAACTGTGTTCCTGCTGACAGCGGTTGTCAACGTGCTGGACGAAAGCAATCAACTGCATTCATGCCGAGTACTGCTAGATAGCGGCTCTCAGGTAAATTTCGTAACAAACAATTTTGCAAATCTTTTAAGAATTCAGAAGCATCGTGTCAACGTTCCAAACTGTGGCATCAACGACGTCAGGACTGTAGCCCACGATAAGGTGATGGTCAACATCCGATCTCGACTCACCGACTTCCAAGCACACGTGGAGTGTTTGGTTACGCCCAATGTGACAGGTGTCATCCCGCCAACAAGAATCGACGTGTCATCTTGTCCCTTCGGCGTCCAACTAGCCGATCCGGAATTCTACAAACCGGACAAGATCGATATGCTTCTTGGTGCAGAGTTATTCTTCAAGTTGATGCGACCAGGACATATCAAACTCGACGACAGCCTTCCCGATCTCCGTAAAACCTGCCTTGGATGGGTTTTAGGCGGTGTATTCACTAACACGATCAACGCCAATCAACCACAACATTCGCTCATCGTATCGTTGGATGACATCGAGGAATCCATTCAACGATTTTGGAGGCTCGAAGAGGTGCCAGATTCGAGTCCTCTGACGAAAGAAGAACAGAAGTGTGAAGCCCATTTCGTCGCCACCCACCAGCGTGATGAAAATGGACAATACCAAGTGAGGCTACCGTTCAAGGATAACGTGCACGAGCTTAGTGACTGCCGAGCGGTTGCTTTGAAGCGATTCCAGATGCTGCAGAGGAGGCTGCAGCGGAACCCCGATTTGAACGAGCAGTATGTTTAGTTCATGCGTGAGTATGAAGAGCTGGGACACTGCCACGAAGTACGAGAAGAAGACGATCCACCGCACCAGCAAAACTACTACCTGCCGCACCATGCGGTACTTCGCCCATCATGTTCGACCACCAAGTGCAGGGTGGTATTTGATGCCAGCGCCAAACCAACAGTGAACCACCGTTCACTCAATGAGGTTCTACAAGTCGGTGCAGTGGTACAGAAAGAACTCTATGACGTCATACTCAGGTTCTGCAAGTACCCAGTTGCATTCACAGCCGACGTGCCGAAGATGTATCGACAAATCAAGATGCATCCAAGGGACACACATTATCTCCGTGTATTTTGGTGTGAGCAGCCGTCAGAGCCACTTGAGTCTTGGAGCTCACGACGGTTACATATGGAACAGCATCGGCTCCGTTGCAAGCTACCAGGTGCTTGCAGCAGCTCGCCGATGATGAATCAACCGATTTTCCGATCGGTGCGCAAATCGCCAAGGAGGATTTTTACGTCGACGATGCATTTTCCGGTGCAAATTCACTTCCGGAGGCCCTCGAAGCAGCAAGGCAGCTGGAAGGCTTACTGAAGAGAGGAGGGTTTTCGCTGCACAAGTGGTGTTCCAACTCAAAAGAGTTTTTTAACCACATTCCAAACGATCGACTGGAACAGCCCGTTCCATTGGAAGAATACGGACCGAATGGAGTTATCAAAGTGCTAGGCTTGCTTTGGGATCCAAAAGTCGATCATTTCCTCATCGCAAGGCCGCCACAATGTGATTTGAATCAACGATCAACGAAGCGTATTATCTACTCCGAGGTGGCCAAGCTTTTTGACCCGTTAGGACTTGTGTCACCAGTGATTGTCGTCGCCAAACTACTAGTGCAACAGCTGTGGAAGCACAAGATTGGCTGGGATGAGCCCGTCAACGACTCGATACAGGAGCGATGGGTTGAATTTGTAAATACCTTGCCAGCACTCGACAAAATCGCCATACCAAGAAGAGTTACGTTCCACGACGCCGTGTCCTTCGAAATCCACGGTTTTGCCGACGCATCATCATTGGCGTATGGTGCATGTGTTTATGTTCGAAGCCTGTTCTCCAACGGTTCCGCCAAGATGAAGTTGCTGAGTAGCAAGTCCAAGGTTGCTCCGCTACATGACCTTTCAACGCCTCGAAAGGAATTGTGTGCCGCATTGCTACTAACTCGACTCATTCAGAGGATTATCCCAGCCATGCAAATGGAATTCCGTGACGGGGTCCTCTGGTCGGACAGTCAAATCGTTCTGGCGTGGATGAAACGATCAGCCGATCGCCTCAAGATTTTTGTCCGAAACCGGTGGTGGAACAGTTTCCACTGTTTTCCCGCTTCAGTGACTTCAGGAAGATCGAACGCATCATGGCATTGGTACTTCGATTCATCGCCAACATCCGCACCAAGAACAGGTCACAACGTATCTTCAACCGATACGTTACTATTTCCGAACTCCGTCGATCGAATTTCACCATTATGAGGATGGTTCAACAGTCAGAGCTAGCTGACGAAATACGTCGTGTCCAAACCAACAAACCGTGCCGCAAGCTAGGAGGCTTGAATCCAGTGTTCGTCGATGGATTGCTTCGAGTTGGTGGTCGCCTGCAACATTCGAATCTACGAGCCGAGACGAAGAATCCGATTATCCTTCCGAACAGACATCCACTGACGAAGCAGCTAATCCGCACAATGCACATCGAGCATTTGCACCTTGGGCAAAATGGCTTGATTGCTGCTATGCGCCAGAGGTATTGGTTGCTGAGCGCCCGTTCAACCATCCGGCAAGTGACCCGCAATTGTGTAAGGTGTTTCCGCACAAATCCAAATATGTCAACGCAGCTGATGGGCAATCTTCCTCAACCGAGGATAAATCCAGCACCTCCGTTTGCAGTGACTGGTGTCGACTACGCCGGCCCATTTTGGATCAAGATGGGAAATTACCGATCCAGGCTCATCAAGGCTTACGTGGCAGTATTTGTTTGCATGGTAACAAAAGCAGTGCATCTCGAGGTCGTGTCTGATCTCACATCCGACGCCTTCTTAGCTGCGCTACAACGGTTCATCAGCCGAAGAGGAATGGTGCAACAGTTGCATTCTGACAATGCCACCAACTTCCGAGGAGCACTACACGAGTTGCACCAGCTATATCAACAGTTCCAGGATCAGCAGTTCACAGGACGTATCCAGTCCTTCTGTCAGCCAAAAGAGATCGAGTGGCATTTCATACCGCCGAACGCACCCGAGTTCGGTGGCTTGTGGGAGGCCGCTGTAAAATCGACAAAGAAACATTTGCTCAGAGTGGTTGGCTATTCCAAATTGTCATTTGAAGAGCTAACAACCATACTCACCGAAATCGAAGCAGTTCTCAACTCTAGGCCACTGTTTTCGATTTCCTCCGATCCAGCCGACATAGAGGTAATTACGCCAGCTCATTACTTTTTTGGTAGACCACTTACAGCCGTTCTGGAACCATCCCTTGAAGATATCCAAATTAATCGTCTGAAAAGATGGCAACATCTACAGAAGATGCGTGAGGATTTTTGGAAATCTTGGTCCAGAGATTATTTGTGCAGCCTTCAACCGAGGTCAAAGAATACCAAGACGACATCCAACCTTCGCCCAGGAATGGTAGTTCTACTGGAGGACAAAAATCAACCACCGCTTAACTGGAAGCTAGGCCGCATCATGCAGGTATTCCCAGGGCCAGATGGATTGGTCCGAGCCATCGATGTGTCGTCTAACGGAGCTACCTACCGACGACCGATCAACCGGATCGCAGTTTTGCCGATTGAGGACAACGAGCCACCAACCCTGAGTGATGTTGAATCTACGAGTCAACCGGGCGGAGTATGTTCCGTGCGAAACAAGCTATAGTAGCTTCCAAAACACAACGCAAACGATCGTCATTCAAACCACCCATCGTGGCAACAACGCACTCCAGGTAGAATTTTAAGGACACCGAACGAGAAGGGAGAAGCACTATATACTTCTCTTCAACATGCTGCTGCCTGCTGCTCGCCGTAGCGCACGGCAGGCAAGTATATAGGACCAAAAGTAGCAAAATACGATAGGACGACTGCTATAAAAGCGACACAGCCAGCCAGCGTTTTTATGAGTATTATTCCGACCACCATCCAAGTTACATCCAGTGAAGTAAGAAAGCAATCTGTAGAGAAATAGTGAACTAGTTAGAATAAAAGTAGTTTTAAGGTGATAATTTGATTAGTGTGTTGAATCTTTCAATCCGAACGAAATACAGTCCACGTCCAACCCACCGGAGTTGGCCACGGTAAACGCGCCAACAGTACCCATTAAAAAAAGAACTCTTCACATTTGATAGCTGTGAAGTTGTTATCTGCCTGCAACACCGGCTTCAAAAAGAGCTGATGAATTTTCATGTACACCATAAACGAAATTTCAATCTGTGGCTCGGACTCTCCATTTAACTCTTGAGCAGCAGCATTGTCTCTAGAGATCCCTGTCCATGAACAGGTCATCAGAAACTGTCGAGTCTTAAAATGATCAATTAATCGATAACATTAGTCAAGGCCATCCTCTTTTCCGGTTGTACCACAAATGTGGTCTTGACGTTTTTGGCAAATTCATTCAACATTTCCAGTGATTCAATAGGTTTCAAAAATACATATGTATGGACTTGTCCTGAGGCTTTTCCAAGAGAGCCTGATTCAATTTTCAGTAACTTATCATTGAAGTACTTAATCCATGCTTGCTTTCAATTGAGCGCGGCTGTTCATTATTTTTGCCTGTTTACCAATAATCAATGTTTGGTTCGCTACAACGTCCTCCAATGATACTGACTGATGGCTGATGTTGTTGACGATCGACTGAATCAAAACTCTGTCTCCACTTGTACCTTCTCCAGGATCTTGCATATTAGCTTTTTGCGTGCTCTCAACTTAGTGTTCTAGATGCACTTCCACAGTTATTAATTGAGAGCTTTCGATGTCTGTAGCATTTTTGCATTGGTATAATTGTGTGGCAAGTCCAATCATACTTCTATGCCCAGGGAAGTCGAGAAATTTTCCAACCCGTAAAATTCCTAGACCGGACCGGGAATTGAACCCAGCCACCTCCAGCATGGTCTTGCTTTGTAGCTGCGCCTTTACCGATTGAGCTAAGGGAGGCCCAGGTCTCGAAGGTCTCGATGTACAACTGCTGGAACTCGCTGAGATCAATGCAGGAGGAATTGAGAAGAATTCTGACGCCACCGTTGTCAAAATATGTACAAAAACTGGACGCTTTGTACGCAATTATTTCAAAGACTTTTTAAACAGAAATAAGCTTTAAAACTGCAACGAAATCGTTTATTAAGAAAACTGGTGTAAAACATGGATGGAAATAAATGAAAAGTTCAAAAATTAAAATTACTTCTGGAATGTTACACTTGAATTTGTAATCACTGTGTAATATTGTCTTCCTGTTGATGTTATGGTAGAGCCATCAACAGTTGCCATCGGGTCATCCTAAAAGTCTGTCACGACGATTTCAGTTTGGTCATGCCATAGTGGTGGTGGAGTTCGTTGATATGAACTGGAAAATCAGGAAATGATGCTTGACTTCGCAACGGCGTTGATTGTTGAATATTATGCACGACCGGATCATTCGATGGTCGTTTTTTCTTGTACACATGTTTGTGTCTCGGCATAAACTAAAACAATATTTTTACTCCATAAGGCATTATAACTCATAAAAAATAGGAAAGCTGACACTGCTTAATTTTTATTAAAGAAAAAATTATACTTTTAACCTTTTGTCCAAAGTTGACGAAATAAATAAATCAATTTAAGAAAACAAAACTGTATTCTTATATATACTAGTCTACGTTGGTTGACGAAATAAATAAATAAATAATTAAGATTTCACATATCGAAAGAATAACACCACAATAAAATTATAATCAATGCAACTCATCAACCAAATAAATCCAAATTAAACCCATCAAAGTTATCAAAAAGTT